GATGCACTAGGCAACATGCAGTTAAAGCGCCGCTAAGATTAGCTGAAGCAGCCCAGCTGCGTGATCAGCTGGGAGCAACGGTTCGCCCGCCAGAATAACAAGTGGTCAGCCACTCATTTCGGGTAACTCTCCGGGTACTGCCATCGGCTCTCCGGTACGAGAGTCTGGAGCTTTTCAACCGGGACCCTGTTCATCGACTGTGGAATTAATTCAAAGCGATCTAGTATTTATCCTCATGTACAGCCTAGAATTAATAGAAGAGTATATTAAGAAATGCGACAAATATTTGACTAATACCCCGTAGGAAGGAAGTTGATGGATCTCATTTAAGTTAGTTGCTGCTAATTATGGCGGTCCGATCCACCGTGCAAAATTCTGTAGTTAACAAGAACCATTGCCACCAGTAACTGTTATGAAATTGACATATTGTGTCTCTGGCTTAAGACTGAAACAAGGTAAAAACAGCCAACTTGGATGTTAAAATACCTTCAGTTCTTGTCCATGTGTTAAATCCAGCCCATCCCAATAACAAAAAACAACTCAGCCAAATACCAGATAAACGCCAACCATGAAAGAATGCAGGAGAAAAAAATGAAGATGGAACAAATGACACAAACACACCAAAAGAGGGTGGGGGGAGAGAGAGAGAGAGGATATGAGGCCAACCCAACGGATATCAAAAGGCTTATGAATGCATCTGATGAAAAGTACTACCCAGCAAAAGTCAAAATGAAACAAATTCCCACATCCTAAAATGCCTCCTGCTCTTTCTCGATATTCCTCATCCCTCGTCTAAGCCTATCCGCCAGACCAATTTCTCCAGCGCGGCGATTCAGTCCACCCACGAATCGACCCTTGCCACCATATTTGCTCGATTGCGCGCGAGCCATCTCGTCTGCATCTTGCGCCTCTCGCTCCCGTTTGTCAGCAGCAGCTAAGCGTGCAGCACGAGCTTGGTCTAGCTCGTTGGCGCTTTGTTGCATAGTTGCTAACTTGGCCTTGCGCTCTTCATCACTTATCGTGGTAGGTGCAGCTGTAGTAGGTCTAGCTTCGCTTGATGGAGCGGCAGTATCGGACCGGCGACGAGACGATGGTGGGGATACCCCTCGCGAATGATGCCAATTTTCTTTTCTGGAGTGTGAGGAATTTTCTCGGGGCCAACAGCGCGAGCGGTCCCGTGAACGGTCGCGCAGATGTGGAGAGTATGACCGTCGACGTTGATCGGGAGATGGGGAGCGTCTTGATCGATGGTGATCTGGAGGTGGATTTCGGGATGGCGATGGCGAGCTGGATCGGCGCTGTGATCTGTGTATCCGATGATGGTGGCTTCGTCTGTCATTCTCATCATGTCTCCTGGACCTGTGTCTGTCACTCGCATCGTCGTGTCGCCTCGATCGATGTCTTGAAGTTCGCTCATCATCTTCATCGTCTCTGTGTCGATGCCTCCGGTGTTTTCGGCTCTTTTCTGATGACTGTGTAGTTACCACACCAGCTGCTTTAAGAAGCTGTTTCCTTCTCACAGGATCATTCATCATCGCTTCGTAGGCAGCCTGCTCTTGTTTCTTTATAGCAAGCATAGGGTCTTCTCTTACTTTTGCAGCCACATCCCTCGCAGTATTTGCGTTCTGCAAAGCCATAAAAGAGCCTTCGGTGGAGGATTTCTGTAGTTTTGAATTCTCCGAGCCTTTGATGAGATCATCAATGCGCCGTTTCCCCAGAAGATATCCTTCCATCTCCTCTGTTGTGCCCGTCTGTCCCGCTGCCGGCCCTGAGTACATCCAATCCACGCGATTTAACCGTTTCTTTCCACCTGCTGCTTCTTGCATTTCCTGTAACTCCTGGATCTGCCGCTCCTCTTGCCGTTCCTTCATCATCTGCTCGATCCGCTTGCGCTCCTCGAGTGCTTTCTTTTGTTCGAGCCATACCCGCTCCTGGTTCTTCTGGAGAACGGGATGCCAGGACTTTTTCAGATTGAGATCGCCTCCCATTTTGGCAATGTGTAATGGGTGTGAATATATGAAAGTAACGCCCACAGGACTAGAGGGTGTGAGTAGAAGGTCAACTGTCCCTCGAAAGTGGTATCCGACAACGGCGGCAAAACTTGGGAAAAGAGCCGCACTAGTCCGGATATATAGTAGCGTCTTGGCGTTATCTTTCTCCAACCTTCAAACCGGAGTAATAAACAACTACAATTAGTATAGAGAACATTTTACGACTCACCATAACTTTGCTAATGACATTGCTCTTGTATATCATCACACTTGAAGTTACAGATTGCGATCCCTATACTCCGAAAGTCAACACTTTTCTACAGAAACTCCTGGCTCTATCCAGTCAAACCGGCTTTGGTCGGGTCCACGTCCCCGGCTCAACCTTCCAAGATGTCGGACGACGATTTTATGCAGGACTCCGACCAGGAGGAGTGCGTAATTACCATTTTCCCACAAGCTTCGCGCTACGACTGCTAACTAATTATTATAGATATGACTTTGAGTATGAGGACGCCGATGAAGATGAGGCTGGGGATGTTGGAATCGAAAATAAATACTACAATGCAAAGCAGATTAAAGCGGATAACCCAGAAGAAGCTATTAACGAATTTTCAGAAGTCCCCGCTCTAGAGGAGGAGAAAGGCGACTGGTGCGCCTCCATTATCTCAGCTTCGAAACTGGAGGAGGGTTTTGCTGACAATTGATATCTCGCCGATCTAACAGGGGATTTAAAGGCTTAAAGCAAGCGATAAAACTAGAATTTAAACTCGGTCGATATGAAGATGTAAGCGCCAACTATGCCCTCTACAGTGATGTTGTGTTGGAGTGGTGTAACTAATAGCAATGCGCTCAGGCCGTTGAACATTATCGCGAACTGCTCACCTACATTAAATCCGCCGTCACAAGAAACTACTCCGAGAAATCGATCAATAACATGCTGGATTACATCGAAAAAGGGTCTGATGACGCAAAGGCGTATCATTGCATGGAGAAATTTTACTCCTTAACGCTGGACTCTTTTCAGAATACCAACAATGAACGGCTTTGGCTAAAGACTAATATCAAGTTGGCCAGGCTCTGGCTTGATCGCAGAGAGTACGGCCTGCTAAGCAAGAAGGTGAAGGAGCTACATCGAGCATGTCAGCGGGAGGATGGGACGGATGATCCAGCTAAGGGGACATATTCACTGGAGGTCTATGCTCTGGAAATCCAGATGTATGCGAATACAAAGAACAATAAACGGTTAAAAGCACTCTATCAGAGGGCGCTCACCGTGCGGTCCGCCGTGCCACATCCGAAAATCATGGGAATAATTCGAAAAAGGTGGGGGAAAAATGCACTTGAGCGAAGAAAACTGGGAAGGGGCACAGAGTGATTTCTTCGAATCGTTT